CTCAACCGCCTTCTGCAGCTTGCTTAGGGCTCAGCCCCACAGATCAGATGGGCCCAAGGCCCCCCGTCCTGCAGCTCTCTTTCCAGAAGCTCACCCTCCTCTGCCCTCTGTCCGAATCCCACAATGTCAGCTGGCTGACTTTTTGGAGGTAACTGATACCATCCACTAGAGTTATGTTGCTTTTGCACATCTAGTGGTAGAGCGAGCTGGCCTCCTTTCCTTCTTGGGTACAGGCAGCCTCAGCTTTTCTCTCCAGCCCAGGGCAGAGTGGTCACAGGCAAATATGATCCCTGGGACAGTGACCTGAGAGGTGGCCATGTCATTGTCCACCTTTTGGGGAGGCCCCAGATCCCTGCACCCCTCCCCACTAGCTATTCTTTCAGGTTAGACAATGAGGTCGAAACAGTCCTTGAGGTCAGGAACAGTGTTTCAATCTTCTGGACTGGCCATTTGGCATTTAGGACACACTCAGTAGTTACATGTTGAGTGAGAGGATAAACGAGTGATGTTTCACTTAGGCGAAGAGATTACTTGCTATCTCTTAAGCAAATACTAGCATGTACCAAATGATTGTTCTGGAGAAGTGTATTATTTCACAAACAGTAGCTGTCACTGGAAGGTATGAGTGGCCTCAGTCAGGAGCCAGGAAGCTGTCATGTGGTGCCAAGAGTGACACTGAAGTTTCCAGAAGCTGAGAGGCTCCATCAGCAAGACATGCTCTGAGAGGCACAGAGGACCCGCAGAGGTAGTGACGGATCCTGAGATCTGCCATTCTCAGGAGCTTCTGCCCTTGCTCATGCGGAGACACAAAATACAGAGACGACGGCAGCATGTTGCTGCTGGGAAGAGCTGCACCCACGGCTAAGGGGTGATCCTGTGAGGAAGCTCCTCATTCGGGTGATCTGACTGGGTAACTCTTGACACCTGGGGAACGGCAGGCATGCTGGTCTTTAACATACTCACTGAATAGGTCAAATAACAGTTTCCTCTTCAGAAATCCAGTGGCTGATNGATCCCTGGGACAGTGACCTGAGAGGTGGCCATGTCATTGTCCACCTTTTGGGGAGGCCCCAGATCCCTGCACCCCTCCCCACTAGCTATTCTTTCAGGTTAGACAATGAGGTCGAAACAGTCCTTGAGGTCAGGAACAGTGTTTCAATCTTCTGGACTGGCCATTTGGCATTTAGGACACACTCAGTAGTTACATGTTGAGTGAGAGGATAAACGAGTGATGTTTCACTTAGGCGAAGAGATTACTTGCTATCTCTTAAGCAAATACTAGCATGTACCAAATGATTGTTCTGGAGAAGTGTATTATTTCACAAACAGTAGCTGTCACTGGAAGGTATGAGTGGCCTCAGTCAGGAGCCAGGAAGCTGTCATGTGGTGCCAAGAGTGACACTGAAGTTTCCAGAAGCTGAGAGGCTCCATCAGCAAGACATGCTCTGAGAGGCACAGAGGACCCGCAGAGGTAGTGACGGATCCTGAGATCTGCCATTCTCAGGAGCTTCTGCCCTTGCTCATGCGGAGACACAAAATACAGAGACGACGGCAGCATGTTGCTGCTGGGAAGAGCTGCACCCACGGCTAAGGGGTGATCCTGTGAGGAAGCTCCTCATTCGGGTGATCTGACTGGGTAACTCTTGACACCTGGGGAACGGCAGGCATGCTGGTCTTTAACATACTCACTGAATAGGTCAAATAACAGTTTCCTCTTCAGAAATCCAGTGGCTGATAGAGCCCAACGACTGAGAGTTCAGATGATCTGGAACATCAGAGAACGTAAAGGCCTGGACCTCACATTCCCAGGGGAAGATGAAGTCCCGTTGGCCAGCTGTGTGTGACCTGTCTTAGGAGTCTGCGAATGTCTATGAAATGGCCACTTCTACCTGAAGTGCATAAGAATAGCGCTTCTTGCCTCCTTCTCAAGCTCTCAGTCAGACCCAACTTGGAAAAGCCATCACCTTGTCCCAAATCCACACTGCACCTAACCTTGACTGCCTCCATCAACTTCCTTCATGGAGGGAGAAATCACTTTTTCAGATAGAAGGGAGGTTTGCGCAGCCCCTCTGGTGGAGATGAAGGGTCGGCATCAGAGTGAGCAAGGGTCCAGGTCCGCCTCTCTGCATGATATGGGGAGTCTTCTCCCCAGTAGCACCATCCTTATGAAGAGCCAGTGATTTCCCTCGACAAAGAATTCTGTAAGTCTGTGTATATATTTAATTGGAAAATGGAAGGGGATATAAAGCATCAGAAAAGAAATATGTTTTTGTTGCCTATCTCATGAAATGACGTGTGGCTTCACATTGTCCCAAGAGACCAAGATCATTTGGACGACTGTGAACAAACTTCCGCTTTATCAGATTTCATTGGGGTTAGAACAGAGTAAGACTGATGACAAAAATCCAGTTTGAGCTGAAGGTGACGCTATCACCTTATTATGAAATGTTTTCATGTATTTCATAATCTTGTTTACTTTTATATTTTTGACACCCCTGTAACACTTGGCACCTATAACCAAAGCACAACCCAGGAGGTCTGTTTTGATGGCTTCTTTTAATTTGTCTCAAATGGTTTACTATTCAAAGACCTTACTTTATACACAAAATAATATTCAAAGTAACAATTGTGAGGGCAAAAGTAAAGAAAAAACCCCAAAACCCGGGATGGGGGTTTGGAGGAAGCTTAATTATAATTACCCATTGAGAAACCATAAAACAACCTGCTGTAT